CTCTCCCATGCAGTGGCTGGTGTCTTCACACTCTCCCGTGCAGTGGCTGGTGTCTTCACACTCTCCCATGCAGTAGCTAGGGTCTTCACACTCTTCCGTGCAGTGGCTGGTGTCTTCACACTCTTCCATGCAGTAGCTAGGGTCTTCACACCCTCCTATGCAGTGGCTGGTGTCTTCACACTCTTCCATGCAGTAGCTAGGGTCTTCACACTCTCCTATGCAGTGGCTGGTGTCTTCACATTCTTCCATGCAGTAGCTGGGGTCTTCACACTCTCCCGTGCAGTGACTGGGGTCTTCACACTCTCCCGTGCAGTGACTGGTGTTTTCACACTCTTCCGTGCAGTAGCTGGGGTCTTCACACTCTCCCGTGCAGTGGCTGGTGTCTTCACACTCTTCCATGCAGTAGCTAGGGTCTTCACACTCTCCCATGCAGTGGCTGGTGTCTTCACACTCTCCCGTGCAGTGGCTGGTGTCTTCACACTCTCCCGTGCAGTAGCTGGAGTCTTCACACTCTGCTATGCAGTGGCTGGTGTCTTCACACTCTTCCATGTAGTGGCTGGTGTCTTCATGCTCTCCCATGCAGTGACTGGTGTCTTCACACTCTCCCATGCAGTGACTGGTGTCTTCACACTCTTCCATGCAGTAGCTGGTGTCTTCACACTCTTCCATGTAGTAGCTGGTGTCTTCACATTCTTCCATGCAGTGGCTGGTGTCTTCACACTCTCCCGTGCAGTGGCTGGAGTCTTCACATGCTCCCGTGCAGTGGCTGGTGTCTTCATGCTCTCCCATGCAGTGGCTGGTGTCTTCACACACTCCCATGCAGTGACTGGTGTCTTCACACTCTCCCATGCAGTGGCTGGTGTCTTCACACTCTCCCGTGCAGTGGCTGGTGTCTTCACACTCTCCCATGCAGTAGCTAGGGTCTTCACACTCTCCTGTGCAGTGGCTAGTGTCTTCACACTCTTCCATGTAGTAGCTGGAGTCTTCACACTCTCCTATGCAGTGGCTGGTGTCTTCACACTCTTCCATGTAGTAGCTGGTGTCTTCACACTCTCCCTTGCAGTGACTGGTGTCTTCACGCTCTCCCATGCAGTGGCTGGTGTCTTCACACTCTTCCATGCAGTAGCTAGGGTCTTCACACTCTCCCGTGCAGTGGCTGGTGTCTTCACACTCTCCCATGCAGTGGCTGGTGTCTTCACACTCTTCCATGCAGTAGCTAGGGTCTTCACACTCTCCCGTGCAGTAGCTGGAGTCTTCACACTCTGCTATGCAGTGGCTGGTGTCTTCACACTCTTCCATGCAGTGGCTGGTGTCTTCATGCTCTCCTGTGCAGTGGCTGGAGTCTTCACACCCTCCTGTGCAGTGGCTAGTGTCTTCACACTCTTCTGGAGCACTCTCCTCTTCAGCTGTAGCCCAGACCCAGCAGAACTCACAGAATTCTTCTCCCTTATTTACAAACTTCCTCAAATGACCACCCATTGACAGGCAATTTAACAACTTATTGGCCCATTTAATTAAAAGCAGACACATATATGTTTTGGGTATGAGCTCTAGGACTTTGATGGGTCTTTGCTGAATAGAATTGAATTATTGGCTGGGCGCGGTGGTTCACACCTGTAATCCCAGCACTTTGGGAGGCCGAGGCGGGCAGATCACGCGGTCAGGAGATCGAGACCATCCTGGCTAACACAGCGAAAGCCCGTCTCTACTAAAAATACAAAAAAGTAGCCGGGCATGGTGGCGGGCGCCTGTAGTCCCAGCTACTTGGGAGGCTGAGGCAGGAGAATGGTGTGAACCCGGGAGGTGGAGCTTGCAGTGAGCCGAGATTGTGCCACTGCACTCCAGCCTGGGCGACAGAGCGAGACTCTGTCTCAAAAAAATAAATAAATAAATAAATAAAAAGAATGGAATTTTGAACTGAACAAAGGAGCAAGCAGGTCAATGGGTTGTTTTTCCACCTGCGAGTGACTCTATCCAGGTGCAAATAGCAAGGAAACCCTTGAATCCACTACAGGTGAAAGTTTTGCAGTGTGGTCCCATGTGAGGGAGGAGACAAGTCACCTGGCTATTGGGTAGGGATGAAGAGGATACCAGGGCTACGGCTAGACTTTAGCAGTGACCCCACTTGAGCCTGCAAAGGGCAACAGCTCCCTAAGGAAGCAGCAGGGATGAGTGCCAGCCCCCTCCTAGGAAGCCCTCTCAAAGTCTTTCATTAGATATGCCAGATAGCCTCTCTCTCCTGGAGTAATTCCTTCTCTCCAGGGTCATCATTTGTTTTGTGATGTTAATTCATGTGAGTTGGGGGTTTGGTTCTATTTTGTTGTTTTCCTATATGTTTTGATTTATTGCTTTGAATTTTTTTTGTTTATTTTCTGTGATAAAAATGGATGTTCTATGTGAAAGCTGAGTTCCTTGTTTCTTTCTTTTGCCCGTGGCTGACTGCGTGTGCTCTGTTGATGTCTTGTTCCTGGTTCTTGACACTGACCATCTTGTCTGTGAAAGGAGGCACTCCGGCGGGCATGCTTGATCAGAAGAAAGGGAAGTTTGCTTGGTTTAGTCATTCCACAGAAACCCATGGTAATGTCGCCCTGTGCTGTGTGTGTGTAAATGTGTATGGGTGCATACCAGACAGAACGGGAGGGTGTTTCTCATGATGGCTTGTGCCGCAGTAGTTCTGTGTGTGTGCATATATGTGTACGTATATATGTTGTGTGTGTGTCCGTGTGTTTGTGAAGGGATGGCAACCTGTCCCCCTCAACGGCACTGCCTTGTCATTGCTTCATATGTATAAAGTCAGTGGGTGTGACAACTGGCAGAGCCGTTCCTCCAGGAGCTCTTCCTTTGGGCAGTGCTGGCCTGGAGTAAGGACACTGTGAATGTGCGGTTGGAACCAGTACAGGCAGTGCCTCAATTTAGAAGGTGCTGTCCTTATTTCTAGCACCCAGGCCTGCCCCTCCAAGTTCATTTGTCTTTCCAAGCCTAGCACCGCCACCTCCACAGCACTGTACTCACACGTAAGGCTCTGGGAACCAAGTGTCACAAAGTCATAGAACTTTTTCTACATGGCCTGGCCTTTCAAGCAAGGATGTCCAGAGGGTGGAGAGCTAAAAAATAAAAAATTAAAATTAAAAAATCTTAGGGCCGAGATGGCTGGAGATAGACGGATTGGAAGACTGAGAGTGCTTCCATTTTATGGCTCCGTTAGTGTGGTTTGAGCAGGGCCCTTGGCAAGCTCTGAAGGTCCATTTTCCCAGCTCCCAGGCCTGAAACTATCCCTAAGGGCTGGTCTCACCAGCCCCTCCAGACTTCAGACTATAAAGTGAGTGTAATGCTATGGAATTCAGTGCCCCTGTTTGGCTACTCACTGCCTTCCTGTGGTGCTCCCAGAGCCTAGTAGGCTATAAGAAGCTTGTCTTTGCCAAGGGTGTAGAGTGCAGAGGCTGTTGAGATTGGGGCACTCAGGATGAACATGGTGCAGGGGGTGTGACACTTGTGCCCTGGTCCCAGGCCTCCTCGAACACACCGCGTGACTGCGGGCATCACATCCCTTCTCTGGCCTCGCTTTCCTCTCCTGCAGAGTGAGGAGGACGAGTTAGAGCCAGAAAGTTTCTAAAGCCTCACCCAGCTCTACAGTTCTATGAAATGACATCCGGATTTTTTTAAATTCAATTTTATTAAAAAGGTCAGAGAGGTCTCTCATACACAACAGTCAAACATACGGTAAGTCGTGGACTTTGTTTGTATCTTCCATGTGCTTGAAATGATTCTCTTCTCACCAACCTGGCTTGTCTTAATCCGAAGGAAAGGACACCGGGAAAAATCCACATCCGTCAACATTATCCATACGACCAGTAGAAGTGTTTCTTGGGCGCTGGCAGCCTCACGGGGACTTGTCACCGGAGGCCGCTCCCTCACTAACAGCAGATTCTGTGTCTGCTGAGGGCTGGTGGCTTTCTCAGCAGATGAGGGGTTCTATTCTGGAGGAACAGCAGAACCAGGACCAAGCATACGATGGCCACTCTAAAGGATAAGGGTTACAGAACTAAGGAACGCATTGTGTCATAGTAAGAGAGTGATGGAAGGTGAAGAAAAATTATTTGAGTTAAACTTTTATTTAGAAGAAAAAAAAAAATAATAATAATAATAATGACTTCTTTCAGGCCACCAAACTGGGTTCTAAGCTAGAAAACTCCCATCGTTCTGGAAATTCAGCCCACAGCTGCCTTGGGAGGAGGGTGGACAAGTTGAATTAAATGGCTTATATCCAAGTCAACCTGTTGACATGGGAATGTCAGGGTGGCTGAAAGGGGAATAGTATCCGTACAGGCTGTCTTCTGACCACAATTAAACATAATCGTGTGGACTGCACACTTCCACTCCTCACTCCTGATGTCTCCAGGGCTAGTTTGAGTCTCAGTGCGCGGCTCTGGGAATGGCCGTTTCCCTCAAGCCCTCTGTCTCAGTCGTGCTCCTGGGAGTAACCGACTGCCGGAAAGGGGAGGCCTCCGTCCACCCAGCAGCAAGCACGCCCTTTCTACAAACAGGCTGGTCCCTGTTCTTGGAGATGGAGCCCCTTAGAGATGGTGGGTGGGATGAAGTAAGGAAAATGATATATTTTCACGAAAGCTCCTCTTTCTATGGCAAGTGGTAGTTGCAAATGGAAAAGGCTCTGCAGCTTCTTCCAGTCCACAGAGTGGAGAGGAGAGATTCAGTGGTCAGTTTTCTCAGGATGTATCCTGTAAGGTAAAATGCTCTTATTACCAGATGTCCTCCCATACTTCCATTAGTTTACAGTGCTCTTGGCAGCAAAACCTGCCCTGGACAAGCAGCAGGCGTGTCAGTCAAGGGGATCCGTGCGGATTAGCCAGCCAGTGCACACAGGCTCTCTTTCTGTCAACCCGCACTGGGTCTTGCGGTGAGCGTGTTGCAAACTAATGCTCTTCTGTTCCCTTCTCTCCCCACCCTCAATGCCTTGCTCTGCTTCCCTTTGACTCTTGCAGTGAGCATGCCCACCAGTGAGACTGAGTCCGTCAACACCGAAAACGTGGCTGGAGGTGACATCGAGGGAGAAAACTGCGGGGCCAGGCTGGCGTGAGTAGGCACGGCGAGCCCAGGGGCTGGGGCTTTTTCCGGAGCACGGGTGGAAAAGCTGCATCTGGAAATCACAATGGGCTGGCTCATCACTGGGAAAGGCAGAGATTAGAGCCGGTGGCAAGAAACAAACCTCAGGTGGGAACCAAGATGGGGAGCAGAGGGCTCTGGGGTGAGGATGGCCCTGGCTGGGGGTGAGTCTTAAAATCAAGGCTCGTCTTCAATTCAGCACTTCTTCGGGGGCGCTGACTCTTGGGTTTTGAGCTACTTTTCTTCACATCTGAGAAATATAGAGGGGGTGTGTGTAGGGGGCGGCCCCGAAGTCTGTTTCTTTCACTCCAGTCCCTTTCACCCCTCTTCAAAGAGATGACGAGGTTAGGGTCCTGAGTCCTGCCGGCCACCCCTTCCATTCTGATAAACGTGACCTGGGAGGGAAGCAGACAGGTGAGAAGATGCGCTGGGAGATGACTGGCATGTGGGTCCTTACCTGAAGCTCTGTCATCCTGCCAGTAAGGGGAGCAGAAGTGCAGTGGAGCCTGCTGTTCTGTTGCCTTGGGGCGTCACGACTGTAAACTCACCCTGGCCGCTGGAAGAACTGCAAACAGAGGCTCTGAGTCAGCCCAGTCCCGGATACAGTGCATTTCTGAATCGCTCCATCTGGGAGGCAGCATCCCCCCTCCCTCCTCGTCTGTGGAATGACGGAGAGCCTGGACGAGCACAGCCCTTTCACAACGCTGAGCTGTGAAAGAGTCTAAACCAGCAATGCCGGCCTTGAGCCCATGTGGGGGAAGGAGAATGAGGATGAGGCCAGAGCAGCCCTCACAGCCGCTGTCTCCAGGGAGCATCGGGCTTCAGTATCACTCACTCTGACAGCGGCACCAGGGCGTCTGCACTGCAGATTTCTCAGCATTGTCGGGAAGCAATTCTTGTCAAAATGTTGTTAACATACGATGCTAATTACATGTTTAAGCAGCAGTGCAAACCTCTTCTTTTGGAATCGTACAAAACAAGTACTTGAGTTTCTGGCAGTAGGTCCCAAACAGCAACTCAAGGAAAGGCCCGTAGGAAGGCTTCAAAGTCCATCAGCTCTAGGCCTTTCTGTCGTCTTGCCACCAAGACGAGGCTTAGAGAGATGATCAAAGGCCCTGCAACTCTGGCTGTTGAGCAGGCCTGAGTCACATACCAGGAGCGACCAGGGAGCTGGCACCAGGAAGTCACCAGACAGTACATTTCAGGAGAGCCTGAGGCTCTGTTAGGAAGGAAACATGATACTCCCCTGCGGATGGAGGCTGGCAGTCTCCAGTGGATCTGTCGTTTGCTCAGAGCACGTGCTCTGCAGCCTGGAGAGCGTTGCAGAAATGGTCCCTGTTATCCCCATGTTTAGCCACATTCGTACTCTGTGCATACAAAATGCTGAGTCACATGCCAGAATTATAATATGCCCCTAATAAAATGTGGTCTTTCCCCATCTCCCGACCTCCCACCCTGCCCCAGACAATGATGGGCCAAGACTCTGCCAGCATTCCTGGTGGGAGAAGTAGCACGGGAACTGAGACTGAGTGTGATGGTCTGAGGGGACAGTGAGTGACCAGGATCTTTAAAGCTAAGGGTTAAAAGTCTTATGTAATAAGATGAGGTCACGACGAGGACTGCTATGTAGTAAGAAGGCCTGGATGGAGATGGTTCCTGTTGGGGGAAGGGAGGAAAGAACTACAGCATGGTATTTCATGGCAGCAGGGGCAGGCAGGTGGAGGTAATGAAGAGGAAGGAGCCATCACAGTTAGGGAAGAGGATAATGAGGCGGAAGTGAAATCTGAAGCAGGAGCCCAGTTGGAGTGACCTGCAGGTATCACGGAGACCACGAGATACGGAGGTCCGAGGCTCAGCTCTGGACAGGGGTGGCCACACATGTTTGAGGTTGCCGGGATGAAAACCACCAACGAGGTGATAGGACGGGGTTGTTCAGAGCGAAGTGGAAAACAGAAGACCAAGGGCTGAATCTTGGGAAATGGACACACAGAAGAAGACCAAGCAAGCAAAACAGACAAAGGAACGTTAGGAGAACAGGCAGCAGCGCCAGCCTGGAAGTGCGGGGGGAGGAATTTCAGGACAGAGCTGTTGATCTGTGCATTCGTTCCACAGTCTGCCCAGCTGGGTGCTGGGCTAGGTGGTGGTGACACACAACAGGGGAGGAAATTGACGCCATCATACTGGAGCTCACGGTCTAGTGTGGGAGAGACGCTGTGCAAATAAATAGGCAACTCTAAATTGGGGTAAGTGTTGAGAAGGAAAAGTAAGTGTAAGGTCGGGCTGATAACAAAGGTTTCTGGTTTGGACTGGCAGGTTAGGAAAGCCTTCTTTGCAGAATTAAAATTCCAGCTGAGAACAGAAGGATGGACATGAGTTATTGAGGGCCTGGCAGACCCTTAACCATTTGGGTCTGCATCAGAAGAGTGTGAGAAGTCGCTGAAGGGCGTTCCGAACAGAGCTGAGCGGGAGGTTGATTTGGTTAGTTTGGAGCTCCTGAAGGATCACTGCGATGTCAGGAAAAGAGCAGGGAGAAATGAGAAGCCGAAAGAGCCTGGCGCAGGTGCGAGGTAGCGTGGCGGCAGCTCGGGCTGCAGAGGGAAAGAGGGGCTGTGCTGTGTGTGTGTTCTGGTGTGCTACCCCCTAAGGGTTGCAGGGCTCTGGTCTTGGGAGTCGGTCTCAGTGAGGGAGAAGGGGTGGAAATGGGCCAGAACAGGGTGCTCACTCAGGCAGTGAGGCCATGGACAGGGAGGAAGATGGGAGCATGTGAAGAGGAGTAGCATGAGTGTGGGAAGTGCTGGCCTTCGTTGTAATAAAAGCTAGGGCAAGCTTCAAGGCAAGGAAGAAGTCACAGAGCAGGAAGAGGCGAAACCAGCTGGAGGGGAAGCAGGTGCTTACAGGAAGGCATTGCTTCTGAAGAGGAGAAGGGCAACAGCAAAGACAGTTTGAGGCACTGAACTTGCTCAGGAAAGAGGAGTTTCTGTGCGCCTGGGACTAATTGGAAAATGAAAGAAGAGGAGTCCCAGAGTCTAGTGCCCATCAACCTCCAGCTAGCCCTGGGATCTTGGCCAAAGCGCTCTGCTCTGGGCCTCAGCCTCATCCTCTGGGAAAAAGAAGGGTCGGACTGACGTCTCAGCAGAGGCTGGGGCAGGGGGCGGAAACCACCTGCAGCGGTGCAAGATTTCATGTGAAGAAAGCATTCTACACCTGGAGAAACTGCAAACTGTAGGTCCACATGGTATCTAAGGGTCCCTTCCAGCTCTCAAGGCCTACAGTTCTGTAAAGAAGATAGAATCAGAAACAGGCTCTGATGAAGGGGTCAGTGATCGGAGTCACTCCGAATGAGCTCAGCCGTCTCATCTCCCAAAGCAAGGGTCAGGGGCCACAGGAACTTGAAGGACAGTCCGGAGACTGAAACCAGTGAGTCATCGAGAGGTTGCCCAAAGGTTCCTGGGCAGCACTGATGCCGCGGTGGAGACTGATATCATAAATGTGCAGTCAGCCATATTTTTGGCAGACTCTGCAGCCTGAGAGCACTAAAAAGAGACAGCGGGGTGACCCAGGGTGGGGCTTAGCCATGCAGGCACAGCAGAAGGCCCAGGCGGTGTGGAGTCTCTGTGGTATTGAGGGCAACGTTGTCATGACTGTAGTCAAGCCTGGTGTTAAAGGGTGTGAGTGATGGGGAGGATCCAGTGAGGACAAAGGTTGGGTCCTCTGAAAGAGCAGGAGGGATCATAGAAAGGGAGGCTCTGGCCAGAGCCATGGAGCATCTGAGCTCAGGACCCAGGAGTGGAAGGAATCCTATGCCGTGGCAAGGGCAGGATGTGACCCTCCCAATAATAAGAGCTGTGCTGGAGAGGAAGTCCCAGAGTTAAGGATGCTGAGTCAGACGCATTGTCAATGTGGATGATGACTGCAGTGCCATCTGACTTACGTTAAAGGCAAATTTGGGACAATTCAGGGAAATACTATTTTACACAGCAGGTAGTAAACATATGGCACTCGTTCCTCTAAGAAGAGGGGAGAGGCTGAAAATATAAATAGCTCTCAAGAAGTTCAAATATTTCTCAGATAATGACAAATGCAAACTGAGTAACTAGGGGAAAAAAAGAGTTTGGGGCTTGTCTCTAATTCTGAACCTGAAAAGCACAAAGGAAAATCATGGTCTCTCCGAAGGTTTGTCTTAGAGTCCTGGGTAGAGAAAGTATCTGGCGTTGCATGAACTTCAGTTCCCACCCACTGGAACTGTTCTGATGGTCTCGTGTTCCTTACCAGCCTTCTCTCCCTCCTCGCTCTTCTTCAAGAATCTGCTCAACCTGAGGTAGGAATGGTGCCTCATTGGAACAACGATGGTGGAGAAAGCCAGGAAGCCTTCTGAGTGCACTGTGCATAGAGAAGCCAGAGCCCCCAGCTGTTCTCAGAGTTCTTTGGAGATTGTGAAGATCAGTAGCAGGGAGGCACTGGCCACAGTGAACCGGCCTAGGATGTGGACCAGCACCATGGCACCAAGGCACCCGGGCTCCTGGCTTGCGTCCTTTCACTGCAGGAGCACCTTTCCAGCCCAGAACCCTGGGCCACCTCCCAGGAGGCAAAGAGGTCCTAGCATTAACTCCAAGGTGTGCAAAGGGAGCAGGAAGAACCAAGGAGTTCAGATGTCACGGAGTTCTCACCTCAGCTCCCCACGGGCATGGAGTTTTCCTCGGTCTCCAGACAAACGCCACTGAGCAGTGTCCTCCCCTTCTCCAGGAGAGGAGCCTGCCCGACATGGAACTTAGCCATTCGGCGGTTGCTTGTCAAAAGTGCCAGCCTTTAAAAGGGGATGAGGGTTTGGTCCCCGCGAACCTAAAATTGTGCTCACAATCCCAGAGAATAGCAACAATAGCAACAAAATCAGTCTTTAAGTGTGGTGCCCAGGCTTAGCCATCCGGACCCGTCACAAAGCAGACAAGAAGGCTCTGTCCATTTCTTGCTCAGAATGTGCCCGGATGCCACAGAAGGACCTGCAGTCCACAACCATGCTTGAAGCAGGACCTCCTTTTCCAGCACTCCCAGCGCCAGTCCTGCTTCCCAGGGTCATTTCCCTTGGAGACGAACACTCAGGGTTAGGTTTCCCCAGAGAGGAGCTTTTCAGAGCCCACTTGCACTTGTGACCGGCTTGCACTACGAGCAAGAGAACACGTCATGGCAAAGGACCGGTGGTCGTCATCAGGGGGCACCCCAGGCAGGACTACTGAGGTGTTTCTGAAAGAAGGCCTAGGGCCAGGCTAGGCTTGGAGTCGGAGTGACAAAGCTGAAGGCCGTGGTCACCCACTTGGGCTTATGGGTAACAGCAAGGAGAGACAACCACCCAAAAGCAGCCTGGGAAGACGCTGAAGGTCTAGGGCTCAGCATGGGCCCGCTGGAGAAGAGAGCACCTGGGTTCCCCAGCACCCAGTTAGCAGCTGGGAAACATTCATTTGCTGGTTAAACTGTGGCTGTAAATAACAGTGTTGCCCTGGGCTCCTAGTCCCCCTCCCACACACTGTTAACGTGTGATTAAACCCTCCAGCCCTCACAGGCAGTCTGTGGGGGTGGGATGAGGTTATTAGCTAACGGTTTGGAGCAGTAAAGGCACTTGGCTCTGATTCGCAGTGCCCCAGAGATATAATTATCTCATGCACGATGGCTTTGCCACCTGTCACATCTTCTGGCTTAATTTTTTTTAATAAGAAATAACGAGAGGGGCTGGCATGTTCTTGCTCTGCGACACAGCTCGCTGTGTGCCGGGCTGGGACGTGGCAGGCCTGCGGCAGTTGCCTCCCAGACTCCCTTCTCGTGTTTCTTCCCCATGCCTCTCCTTGTTGCTCCACCACTGTCTCCGTTGCCTTCTTCATCTCTAACTTGCGTTCTGTCCTTCTGCTTGTCCATCTGAACGTTGTCACCACCTGCACTATCCCCAGTGTTCACGCCCTTCTCCTAGCACCAAAGGCAAGCTGACAGGTGCCTTCTAATTACCTCAACTGCTTACATTCTCTCACTCTGTTTCTGTCTCTTTGGCTCAGCCTTCTCTCCTCCACACTTCTCTTTCAGTCTCTCCCGCCTGCCCTCTTCTCCCAGCCTCCTGCCTCCCGTGCACTCTTCCCTACGTGAACTAGGGAGGCTCAGGACTTCCTTGAAGGTTCCACCTTTCCATGGAACCCCCTCCCTGTTCAATGACCCTTCCAGGCAGCCACCCTCACGCCCACCCTGAGCTTCTGCCCAGAAGTCCCCAGGTCTTCAGGACTGCACGTGACTGTCAGCATCCTGGGTTTCTCCTCTGAATCTGGGGCTGGCTCCTTAGGCCCCCTCTGTAGCTCTTGGGTGGGGGCTGTTGTGGCCCCTCCATTTCTGGCTGGCTCATTTTGCTGGTGTTCCCTTCATAACCCCACTCTAGCTGGGCTCTGGCAGACAGCTGTGAGGTCAGTGCTGACCTGTTCTTGCCTGTGATTTTTCTGCTATTGGGGTTCTCTTGTCATCAGGAGAGGCCTTTTCTTCCTCTGCAGCTTTTCTGAAGATACAGCTCTTCCTAACCTGACCTCATAGAACTTTCTAGGCAGACCCTGAGGACCTGGTACTCTCCCTCTACAGCAAGGATTGTACTTAGAAGATGCTAGCTGGGCCAGACCTCAGTCTCCACATTCAAATACATAGTGTTCTTTCTCTCCCAAGATGTTCTAATTCACACCATGCCTCCTTCCAGCACCTACACGAAGTTACCTGGGGAACATCAAATTTCCCTGGGACTGTTGAACATCTTTTAAATGCACGTGTGTTTGGTAACATTTCCTTTTTCTCTTTCAGCCACCGGATCTCCAAGTCAAAGTTCAGGTGAGTGAGACGCACACTGCTCTTCCTTCCTTCTACCACCAGCTCTGTCCTCAGCCACCCTGTTGGGTGGCCCAAGGTAATACCTATGAGTTGTCAGTAGGGTAAGGGGTATTCTTCTTAAGGGGTAACTACTTTCTGTATGGCCATTAAGAAAAAGCTTATGGCTCAGATCAGGCAAATAATCCAGTGGTTGACATTTGTTGAATGATCTTGGACCGTCCATCTTTTTGGCAGCAGTGTCCCTAGGAAGTTGTCAGACCAGATGTGTTTTCCTCCCTTCTAAGATGAAGTCCAGTTAAAAGAAACATAAAGTGAACCCTTGTGACTGTCATGACCTACTTCATGTTTATAGAACATGGTGAGATATGAACTATGATGATGATGGAAAGCACATAGGATTATGACACCCATCTGTGTCACTGCTCTTGACAACGACAGAACCTACAAAACGACCCAGGGTCCTCAGCCCCCATCTGCCTCCCAGCCTCACTTCCTGCACTTCCGTGAAAATAACCTTTGTTCCTCCTACAGGGAACTTCTTGCAGTTATCTAAATGTTCCCTGTCCTGGTGCACGTTGAGGCCCTTGCATGGAGCCATTCCTCCACTTAAATCACCATGCCCCCAGGCCTTCATCTGGAGAACTCAGACTTCTGTTCAGACCCTCAGATGTTACTGCTTCCATGTTACTGCTTTCTCTCCCGTTTCGCTGGGAGTGGAAATACCTTCTGCAAACTCCAGGGAGAGTTACTCAGCTCCCCCTTCCCTGGTGCTTTGCTGATGTCCCTGTCACAGCACTCAGCAGCTCACACTCGGATTACTGGCTCACAGTCCCCTGCCCCCAGAGGCTCTGCCTGCATGCCTCACAGGGGTTACTTTCAGAGCACCCAGCTCAGTGCCTGTCCAGTGCTGAATGTCCATACATGTGTGTTGAATGAATTAGTGGACAGACGCGTGCAGGGAGAATGTGAATTCACTCCCACAAAGCGTGTATCTACCAAAAAATACTGGTTGTTTTTCATCATTGAGCTGATCTTGATTCCCTAGCCCTACCTACTACAAGGCAGGAACATAAAGACATTTTCGTCCAGCTGAGTAAACGTAGCCCAGTGCTGTATTTTAAACTGTCCCTTAAGGTAAAGTGATTTGTCTCTCAGATTGCCTGTCCCAGCTCCTCTCTTAGATGGAGCTGGACACATGGGGGAGAGGGACTTTGCGATTCCAGGAAGCAGGGAATGATGAGGGCTGGTCCTACAAGCCACACAGGCCCTCTGGTTGCTCATCTCTGCTGCATGGGGCTAGGCTGGACTGCTGTCTGTACTGGTACCCACTGAGGTCCATCTGGTTAGAGCATCCACTGCTGGAGTCCATGCCCTCTGCTTGCCTCTGGCCTTGAAATCTCTACCTCTGCTCTCTGACCCTTGAGTTCTGTTGGCCCACTGACTTTAGCACCTCTATACCTCAGCTGAGTACACGGACACTTCGAAGTCCCTCACGCTCTCTGAAGGAACTGGGGGAGGCAGCAGCACTACGGCAGGCTCGTTGGCCTACTGGTGTCCCATCACGCCCTCTGTAACAGCCAGGATAAGCTTCAAGCCAAGGGCTGACCTCCCAGGGTCTGCCAAGGCACTCCACCAGCCCCAGTGTCCCTGGGCCTCCCCATGGCCATCTGGGTGTTTCTAAAGCAACCCCCCACCAACCTCTTGAGGTGTGGTGCCCAAGGGCTAAAAATTAAGTGAGGACCCTGGTGTCTGACTTTTGCTTCACTTCTGACACATTCTTTCTCTCCCATTTCACTAGGACTGGAAAATACAGGCTTTTTTCCCAGTTCCTCTTTCTCTCAAACCAAGACCTCGTCTACATAAAAAATCTAGGGTCCAGCCCATCAGCTCTGGCTCTTATTACAGAGAAAGAGCTCCAGAAATATTTAAAAAAAAAAAAAAATTCTCTCTCTCAGTAATGCTTGGCTCTTACTGCTTTATCTCCAGCATCTGGAGAAGTAGCTGGTACATAACAAGGACCTAATAAATATTTGCTGAGTGAGTGAGTGAATTAATTAATGAATGATCTTGCCCCAGTAAGACAATAGACTTGACACAGATTCAAACAAAATATCCAATTTGACAGTCAAAGCTGAAAAAGCATGTTGTGCTTTAACAGTTCCAAAGCCCCCACACAATAAGAGTAAAGGGATTAAAAATACACTTGAAAATATTTCCAAAATATCATTCTCACTTCATGCAAGTGGTTAAATCATAAATTAATAAATGAATGAATGAATGAATATGATCCAGAGGATGGAAGGGAAAATTGCATACTTGTGTCTCGAGTTAGAGATTGCCTGGAACACTCCGGCAACATTATTTTCATCCAGTGATCTATGGTGCAAGCTGTGCTTTTGAACAAGAGGAAAAGAGCCTTGGTGCCTGTAAACCTCTGGAGTCTCCCTCAGCCCTGAGGCTTTGCTACGTGCTGGCCATTCAGCCCTGATCATCTGCCTCTGGGAAGGCCTTCTCCTCCTGCAGCCACCCCTCAACACACCACAGCAATGCAGACAGCAGCTTTTGTTCTCCTAAAGGCTTGCAGCTAGTAGGTTGGCACTATCATCGAAACTCATTTCCAGATGAGGATCTTGAGGCTTTGAGAGGCCCAGGTCACAGGGCTCTAGTATGGCTGAGTCAGAACTCATACCCAGGGGCTCTGCTGCCGATCCCTGTGCCATCCTAGTGATGAGGTTCTGCCCAGAAATAGTAAACCCTGTTCCTGTATAGCTAGTGTATCCACAGAGTGCATAACTCTAGAGGCATGCTATTCAACAGAAATACAATGCAAGCCACATATGTACTTTTAAAAATGTTCTAGTAGGCAGGTTAAAAAATAAAAAGAAACAGGAAATTTCTTTGATTTAAACCAGTGTCTCTAAAACATTACTATTTCAATATGTAATTCATATAAAAAGTATTAATGAGCTATTTTGCATTCATGCTTTTGTGCTAAGTCTGAAATTCAGTGTGTTTTGCCGGTACTGCACATCTCAGTCTGGACTGACCACGTTTCCCATGCACAGTAGCTGCATGTTGCTAGCAGCTGCCACACAAGGCCACATGGCCCTGGAGGTTTCACACATGAGCAGGTATCACCCAGCAGCTGTCTGATCTGGATTCAGCAGTTCACTGATGGTATCTGCTTAGGGAATATCAAAGGCTACAAATAGATTGAAAATGCCACCAACATTTTGAAAGGATTCCTAATCATTTTCTCAAGTTAGGTGAAACAGTTGAACAATTACAGATAATGGAATTTGAGTCTCAAACTGGCCTATTCCATTTGCAAAACAGAATGATCCAAAGTCATGTTTCTCTAAAGGAAGTATAGGAATGGAACCTTTAGGGAAAATTTGACCAGTTAATGGATTACAGCCATAGTATATTACAGGCATCGTAGAGTATTCCCTTGGTAATCCAGGTTTTCACTTAGAGGAATTAGTTAAAATAAGAGATTTGTGGCATCTGGAGCTCACTGTTCAGAATAGAATGTAAACAGTTAGGAAACAAATGATGCAGGAAGTCTTTTGCAACCTGAAGGGATTAATTAGACAAGTTGGAGTTTCTGGAGCTCAACTTTACGGAGTTCTGAAGTGAACCTCACGGGGTTCTAAAATTGGGAGGACTGGCTTGCCCAGTCTTCAGTGAAATGTGCTTCCAGTGTTCTCTCCAATTCTGCCATGCCATCAGCAACAAGGCACAAATCCAAATTTGCCCCAATCTCTAATAGTCCTTCGTAAAGTTACTTATTTACAAGAGAATTAAACTTAATGATTTTCTGTGCTGTTTGTTGTTGATTCTGGTAAAAAAAAAAAAAAAAAAAAAAAATTGGAAACTTACTCTAGCCACTAGAAGGAGCCTGCAGGGCCCATCATTTTGATGTTGTCTACGATTCCAGATGCCTGTCCACCATTGCGTATCAAGCAAACTGTTTTAGGTATGAGCACTGCCCTCTCCTCACCTTCACCCTGAGCCCTGGTTCACAAGAGCTCCGGGAATCTTCAGCCTTGTCTTCCAGAGGGAGGTGGTCCATTTGCGTAGAGCTCATCTCTGCTGCTCAGCCATGCCATCAGCCAGGGGTTCTTGTGCAGGATGGACTGGGCTGAGTCCCGTGGGTCTGTAAGCAAGTGTAAGACACAGCCCCATTCCTTCGTGGGTCTTGTGAGCTCCGTGGAGAGGCAGGACCATACAAACACAAGGTAACTGACAATACAAGGAAATGGTAAGTCGTTTCCTCTGGGGACCCTTCTTGCCTAAGGTGTCCTTTTGTGTACTTCCTCGTGGACCCGCCCAGCACTTAGGCCCTGCTGTGACTGCTCACTTAGTGGTCTGTGTCTCCGGGTAGGTTTTACACAGAGGAGGCCTGAGAGCATTGTGCTAGCTGCTGGGTATCTGGTACCCTTCCATGGTCATGTTTAGTAACTATTTCTTGAATGTGTAACTAAAATGAGTAATGCAGACAGTAAGCACTGGAGAGTGCCCAGGCTGAGAAGACTAGAAGCATGCATCACGGAGAAGCTGGGACTCCGTGTGAGCCCCACAGGAGGGGCAGGACAGAGAGGATGGAGCAAAGGTGGAGTTTCCGGTAGCTGGGAGGACTTGCCGTGCAGCTGGACAGGCAAGAGGAAGGTCCAGTGTAGGGAGAAGGGCAGGCGGAGCTGGGGCTGCGAGAGCAGAAGTTTCCCCTGCGAATGCAGTGATCTCAAAGTTTAGAGACATAGATGAGACCCATTCGTAACCATCCCTCTCTCCTGTGTCTACATATGGAAGGTTCTATTTTTAGAGAAAATGACTTCCAGTTAGTGTGAAGGGAACATGAATAGCAGGCAAATTTCTCCTCCCTATTTTATCATTTAATTTCTGTATCCTCCATGCATCTGTAAACACAAATAAATTTACACATTCTAATAAACCATTACATTTATTATACAGTAGGAAGTGTTGCCAGGAAACCAGTTGTCAAGCAAAGCTATATTTTGAAGAGTGGGAGGTGTATAATTATCTTTAAATACTTTCTCTGGATAGTAATTACCCCACCCCCACCCCAGCCCAAATCCATGTGACTCTCCCAAATGGGTCTGCTCAGGAGCACCCCAGTTTAAAGGGACACCATCCTGTCCACTCCGGCCACTCCTCAGGGGTCTCTGTAGAGCAGCTCCAGACCCATGGGACAGGTCTGACAACCCAGCATCCATACCCACTACCCCCAAGCATGAGGAAAGAGGGGCATAATCAAGTTCTCATATTAAACCCACTCTAAGACAGCTCTACATACCGTAAAGAAAGCAACCTTGATTGCCTTGGACTCTGAATAACAATTATCAGTGATTTCTGGAACTTGAGATTGTATCTATTTAAAACATGTTCTTTGCAAACTTCACTGTCAGCTGTTTAAGATCAGATTATGAGTTTGTCCTGAAAATTCATTTTTTAGGGGAAAAAACTACTTGCCAAATTTCTGTACAATATTAATAATCACAATCACAGGAAAGAAGCGGTGGCATGCCCTGCAAGATAAGACTGTTTAGTATCAAGATCTGGCAAACTTCAGAGGTCTCCTCTCAAGAGGGCCATCTGGTACTCATTGTCTCATTCCTTTGTCCCTCCGTCCACCCTCCACCATCCTCCCTCGGATCCAGGGCAGTATGTCTGGGGGTGCAAGAATCCCAAAGTGCATTTAGAAATCGTAACTTTTTAAATTGTTAATGACTATGGGCACTAATAGGTGTATATATTTATGGGGTGCATGTGACGTTTTGATCCAGGTGTAAAATGTGTAAAAATCAAACCGGGGTTATTGGGGTATTCCTCACGTCAAGCACTTATCATTTCTTTGCATTAGGAACATTCCAATTCCACTCTTTTAGCTATTTTAAAATATACAATAAATTATGACTGTAGTCACCATCCTTCTCTCCTATATTGTATGATCAAATATTACATCATATTTATTCTATTTAACTATATTTTTTCACCTATTTACCATCTCCACTACCCTTTCCAGCTTCTGGTAACCATCATTCTACTCTCTGTATCCATGAGTTCAATTGCTTTAATTTTTAGCTCCCACCTGTGAGTGAGAATATCACAATTTGTCTTTCTGTGCCTGGCTTATTTCACTTAATATAATGGCCTCCAGTTCCATCCATGTTGTTGCAAATGACAGAATTTCATTCTTTTTTATAGCTGAACAATATTCCAGTGTGTGCACGTACCGCATTTTCTCCGTTCATCTGCTGGTAGACACTTTGGTTGATTCTGTATCTTGGCTATTGTAAATAGTGCTGCAGTGAACATAGGAGTGCAGATATCTCGTCAGTATACAGATTAGAAACCATATTTTACACCGGGTGGCCTGCTTCCCTGTGTAGTGGATTTCCCCCCAAGTGGTAGGCAAGTGTCCCGTGTAAGGTGTGGCCCTCACTGGAGATGGCCTTCAAGGCAGAGCAGAACACTGCCCGGATTAATCCTTTCTCCCCTCCCCGCTCCTCAGGCCAAAAACTAAGTTCTCCCTGCAGTCCTGAGGAAGGAGTACCCTTCTTAGATTACTCTTCGTTCTCCTAACCTCATCCTAGATTTAGCAAAGGCTTGGTAACAGGATTTTCTGCAGACCATCGATAGAAAAAGGACAGAATAGAAAGGTGGATGAAGTCAGGCTACTCCAAGAGGCAATTTTGGGGGTGGGTGGGTGCAGGGATCCGTAACAGCTGAGGTCCACATCCTGGAACCTTGGAACACTAGTTGTCGCTAGCATCTTGGAGTTTGCTGATGTTTGGAGGGCCTTCTGCTCTGGAAGTAGAGGACCAAGGCTGAGGGCAGTGCACACAGCACAGGGCAGCCCTGGGGCACACCCACGTGTGGTGCTGCTACGTGCTCAGGGGCTGGAAAGGAATAGGCCATTCACAGACCAGCAGGTTCACACAGATGGGACTTGCTGTTCTACCACCAGCATAACCTGACCCAGGAGGTGACACTGAGGCTTGATGGTCGTCTCTGGCAGGAAGGCTGGAGAAACGGACTCATGCCACGGACTCTGATTTAGAATAGAGGACCTCAGTTCAGCTTCCTCGTGCTGAGGTGGAGGGCCAGTTTTCACATCCAGACTTAGTATGCCACACACACACACATACCCCGGAAACAAAGTTTTATGTAAAAAATATTTTTCTTACTGCTTACTTTAAAAAGCAGTTTCCTTATGATATGACAGGCACTGTGATATTTTCCACTCTATTCCTTTATTCAGTGCCAGGCATGACCTACTCAATAGATTTCATGACCCACTAATGGGCTGCAGTGTGAAGGTTGAAATCTCTGCCCTGAGGCAGATTCTGCATGCTTATTTAGAGGAATGTCTGTCTAGACTAGAGAGATTCATAGAAAGGAGATCATTTTATGGAAAAATACAGATATTCATGGACTTTATCACCAGGATTCTACTTTATTTCTCCTCCTGCCTTCATTACCCAAGCAGGAGCTTCGTCTTCTATGCCTGGTGGGTCTGCGTACAAGCCCTACAGGTGCCCCAAAGCCATGTGCAGAGCTCAGCATCCCATGCTTCTCACAGCTGACCCCTCTGCCTGGAGCTCTACTCCCCCTCCTCTGGCCCTCCGTGCCGCTCTCCCAAATCGCCCCAGCTAAAAATGTGGACCTCCCTTCCATACCTGTCTCTCTTATTCTGCACATCCTCTCATCTCAAGGGCCTGTTGATTCTGCCTCCAAAATTGCTGCCAGCTCCGTGTCGTCTTTGCCATTAATAAATCTATTGCCTTCATCATCTCTAACCTGGAGAACAGGAAGAGAATTCCTCATACTCTCCCTGGTCTGGAAGGTGACAGAGGGGCTGTTTTTGTGGCGTGTTCCAATCCAACCTGATCATGTCCTTTCCCCCTCCCCAAGCCTTCAGCATGGCCCCTGCAGTCTCCTCCTCAGCACTTCCTCAGCTGTGGTTCCTCTCTCCTTGCACACGGCAGCCATTTATTAACCGTGTCGTCTACTGAATTCAACCAAATAGAGCTGTATATGTTCTCTGTATCAGGAAAACGAAAACGCCTCCACCATAGAATCTTAAAAGGTGTTTCTTCAGGATCATCTTAGCCAGTGGTTCTCAACCATCATTACACATTAGAACCACCTGGGGAACCTTAAAAATACCCAACCCCCTAGAGAATCAGACTTAATTGGTTTGGTGTTGGGGCTTGCGGACCAGTGGGGTTCTGGGGAGGGTTCCCTAGGTAATTCTGTGTAGCCAGGTTTGAGAATCACTGACAAAGGCCCCTGAACCAGGACACTGGGAACAGTCCACGGAGCATGAGTGAGCTTTAAGGGGTCTGTGTGCTGCATGGGCTCACATGGAAAGGTGTGGGTGTGGGTGTGTGCCCATGTTTCTGAAAGGCAGATCTAAACGCTGATCAGATTCTGGAAAGATGCTATAACCCAGAAGAACAAAGAGCCTGTGCTCCAGATGAACCCCTTCTACCATAAGGATGCAGCACGCAGAGTCAGGGCCAGGAGGCTGGGCAGAAACCCACGCCTGGCTCTGCCCTGTGATGTTGGTCGAGGTGCAGCCTCCCCGGGCCGTAGTTTTCTCCTCCACAACAATCAGCATGATGCATGTTTTGCAGAGTTACCGAAAGAATTGGAGAGAAGGCATGAGAAGTGCCCGACGTGGTACTGGGCCCCTCCACAACTGTTACTAAGAACGCTCTTATTAGCCGGGCGCGGTGGCTCAAGCCTGTAATCCCAGCACTTTGGGAGGCCGAGACGGGAGGATCACGAGGTCAGGAGATCGAGACCATCCTGGCAAACACGGCGAAACCCCGTCTCTGCTAAAAAATACAAAAAATTAGCCGGGCGAGGTGGCGGGCGCCTGTAGTCCCAGCTACTCGGGAGGCTGAGGCAGGAGAATGGCGTGAACCCGGGAGGCGGAGCTTGCAGTGAGCTGAGATCCGGCCACTGCACCCCAGCCTGGGCGACAGAGCAAGACTCCGTCTCAAAAAAAAGAAAAAGAACGCTCTTATTGCTTGCAATACTATTTCTAAGAATGCCGTTTTACAAAAATTTTTTTTAAAAAACTTGAGCACCTTCAACTTCAAAACAGCCAGATGCATTAAAAGGTATTTGATCCATCCCCACAATAACCCCATGAGGTTGGCCCTCTTCCCGTTTCACAGATGGGAGAACTAAAGCTTGGAGGAGTTCAGGGGCATCCCCAAGGTGGCAGGGCCTGGTTAGCTGGGTGAGAAGCTGGGCTCCTTGCCACCAGGTTGGGCTGTTCTAGCAAGGCCAGGTCAGTGAGGGGTGAGAAGAGCCATGGGGCTGCATCTTGGGTTGGAGGAAACCTGAATTCACAGCCATCCCCACCCTTCTCTCCTTGTCCCCTTTCCAGCCGCTACTGGCGCCGGTGGAATCGGTTCTGCAGAAGAAAGTGCCGTGCCGCGGTCAAGTCTAATGTCTTCTACTGGCTGGTGATTTTCCTGGTGTTCCTCAACACGCTCACCATTGCCTCTGAGCACTACAACCAGCCCCACTGGCTCACGGAAGTCCAAGGTGAGCGGCGGCCCCAGCTCTGCCCTGGTTTCTTCCTGGTAACTCAGCCCCTAGGCCCAGGGGAGGGCATAACCACAGGCAGAAGGTGGATGGGAAAGCAGACAGTGGTCAGGGCTCTTGGCAGGTGCTATGCTGGAGATAACAAGGGCCTAGCAGTTCCAAAACCCCACAATAAAATGCACTACCTTGTTAAAAACAGATACGGCTTCCCTGACTGGGTCCACACCATCAGCCTGCCCCAAAGTCACTGGTGGGCCCGGGTGATGAGGGAAGGGGCTACAGCTTGTTTGCCTATCTCAGACCCCTGGCTGCCAACTTCCCAGCATGGATTTTAAATACCTGGGGGCCTTCCTGCAGCCCCGAGGTGGCCTTAACCAGAACACGTGAGGATGGAATGAGCAAAAATGCAGAGAAGAGAATAGGGCCTGAGCACAAGGAGCTGTCTTCAATGGGTCGTTCGTTCTCGTTATCCTTCCTTGGGCCCCTAGACGAGGGTCCTGCTAGCCAGGCCTCATCATCATTGCTGGGCAGTCAAGAAGACCTGGCTTCATCCTCCACAGCTGCATTCCAGAGTCCTGGGAGGCAGGGGGTCTGGTGGTGGAGAAGTTGGACTCAGTGCAGCTGTTGGCCTGCAGATTACTCACCTCTTTGAACCTCCTTTGAACCTCTTTGAACCACAACTGTTGGCTGTTTGGCCTGCAGATTACTCACCTCTTTGAACCTCCTTTCTCATCTCTGAAAATGGGCATGACGATGGTGGTGCCATCTCCACAGGCCTGCTATGAGGAGTAGAGCTTGTGTGTGCTGAGCCTATGGCGCATGAGAGATGCTCAGTAAATGTCTGTTATGATTAAGACAAGAGAGCCCTTTCCCACTGGCTTGGCCCTAACTGTTCTGTTTTGGCCAAGGTGGATGGGAGCGGTGTCATGGGGCATCTTTTTTCCAGTGGAGATAATTACTATATTTCCTTTCCCTGCCTCCCTCTCTGCCCTCCTCTGGCCCTGCTCGGATCTCATCCCTCTCCTGGGCCCGCCAGACACGGCGAACAAGGCCCTGCTGGCGCTGTTCACGGCAGAGATGCTGCTGAAGATGTACAGCCTGGGCCTGCAGGCCTACTTCGTGTCCCTCTTCAACCGCTTTGACTGCTTCGTCGTGTGTGGCGGCATCCTGGAGACCATCCTGGTAGAGACCAAGATCATGTCCCCACTGGGCATCTCCGTGCTCCGATGCGTCCGGTTGCTGAGGATATTCAAGATCACGAGGTACCGGGCATCTCCTCTCACTTTGGAGAGGGGACTCAGGGAGAAGTTCTTCCAGAGGGCAAGGGAGGTGGCAAGGCCTGGGTGGGAGCAGGGCTGTTCTTCCTCAAAGGGTGTCTCTGAAGTTCACATGCAATGGGGGGAGTTTGTGCTCATTTAGATGGCACATCATTTGGAAATTCCTCTGGCTGCTAATACCAGAGACTCAACTCAGTAGTGTAAGCAAGCTAGGGACTTACTCAGCCACAGAAAGAAAGTCCAGAGGCAGCTAGCTGAGGTGGCTTCCGGAAAAGGGTCAGGGACTCAGTCTCTTCTCCTGTGCTTCACCAGCCTTGGTGCTGATTCCTCTCCAGGGTCATAAGTTGGCTTCTGGAGACTGAGCCATCACATTCAAATTGGAGGTGGGAAGAGTAGAAAGGAGCAGAAGGGCTGACCACCCTGGCCAAGTCAGCCTCTCCACTCCCAGAAGTCACTCCCAGACACACCCATTAAGACTGCTGCTGTCGAAAACCCTGAAAATCCTGAGGGTTGGCAATGACATGGAGAAACTGGAGCCCTTGTGCACTGTCGGTGGGAGTGTAAAATGCAGCCACTGTGGGGAATGGTATGATAGTTCCTAGAAACATTAACGATAGAATTACCCTCTCATCCATCAATTCCACTTCTGGGTATATGCCCAAAATAATTGAAATAGGATCTCAAAGAGATATTTGCACACCCAACTGCCTTAGACAGATGAATGTATTTTTAAAATGTGGTCTGTACATACAGTGCAATATTATTCAGTCTTAAAAAGGAAGGAAATCCTGACACGTGCTACAAAGTAGATGAAACTTAAGGACATTATGCTAAGTGAAATAAGCCAGTCACAGAAAGACAAATACTGTATGATTCCATTTATACGCAGCTCTTAGAGTAGTCAGATTCATAGAGGCAGAAAGCAGAGTGGTGGGCGCCCAGGGCTGCTGGGAGGGAGCAGTGGGGAGTCAGTGTTTAATGGGTGCAGAGCTTCGGTTCTGCAAGGTGAGAAGGGTTCTGGAGGTAGAGGGTGGTGGTGGTTTCACAAGCGTGTGAATGTATTTAGCACTACTGAATTCTACAGTAAAAAAAAAAAAAAAAAAAAAGGTTAAGATGGTAAATTTTATGTTATGTCTATTTTAACACAATGAAACAAATTGGAAGAAATCTTCCAGAAATTTCAGCAAGGGCTTCTGTTCTTGGGCACCTGAGCTATTAGGGAGGCTGAGAAACGTAGTCTTCTAGCAGGACAAGTTCTGCTGAAAACGTGATCAAGATCCAGCCACTGTAAAGGGCCGTGGACACTGCACTGCAGATGGCGTTCACCCTCTGTCCACATGGCCACCCCTCCATATATCAGTCCAGCACCTACCCACAGCGGGCCATCTCCCTCACTGTCTAGGCCAGGCAGTGACTCTCATGATGAGGACAGGGCCGAGGGGCACCATTCTCTAGGACAATGGTTTTCACCTGACTTGTGACCACTGGGAGTGGTGGAATCAATTTATTGGATCACAACCATCATTTTAAAACAGCTCTACTGAAATATAATTCATACCCCATATATTTACCCCTTAAATGTGTAATTTAATTGTTTTTTATATTAGCAGTTATGCAACCATCACCAGGTTCTAGTTGTAGAATATTTTCATCACCCCAGAAAGAAACTCCATACCCACTCCACATTCCCCCCATCTTCCCTCCCAGAACCAAATTCACTTTATGTCCCTATAGAGTTGCCTATTTTGGACCATTCATATGAGTGAAATCTTGTAATATGTGTTTTTGTGATGGCCTCTTTGACTTAGCATAACGTTTTCAAGGGCCATACATGTTGTAGCGTAGATCAGTACTTTGTTTCCTTTTATGGTGAATAATACTCCATTGATGGATATACTACATTTCGGTTATTCATTTATCAGTGATGGACATTTGGTTATTACTATGTTTTGGCTCCTATGAATCATGCTGCTATGAACATTCATGTTCAAGTCTTTCTATAGATGTACGCTTTTGTTTTTCTTGGATACATACTTCGGAGTGGAATTTCTAGATTATTTGGTAACAATATGTTTAAGATTTTGAGGAACTGTCAAACTGTTTTCCAAAGACACTAAAGCATCTTACATTTCCATCAGCAATGTATAAGGGTTCCAATTTCTTCACATTCTCTCAAGCATCATTTTTAAAGAAAGAATGAAATAGAATAGAAAAACATCAGAGGGTCGGCCGGGCGTGGTGGCTCACGGCTGTAATTCCAGCACTTTGGGAGGCCAAGGTGGGCGGATCACGAGGTCAGGAGATCGAGACCATCCTGGCCAACACCATGAAACCCTGTCTCTACTAAAAAGAAAATACAAAAAAAACTAGCCGGGCGTGGTGGCGGGTGCCTGTAGTCCCAGCTACTCGGGAGGCTGAGGCAGGAGAATGGCGTGAACCCGCGAGGCAGAGCTTGCAGTGAGCCAAGATCGTGCCACTGCACTCCAGCCTGGGCAACAGAGCGAGACTCTGTCTCAAAAAAAAAAAAAAGTTGAAATACAGACTTGACTTGCAGTATAATATACATTTCTTAATGTGCATTATGGTCAACCTTAGAAGACAGACAGGAAACAGTTGGAAGGAATTTTCAGCCTGTGCCCCTCAAAGGTACAAATCCCTTGTCCTTAAAATTCTGCTTTGGGAGCTCCCAAAATCTCTGCTTTGGGGAAGCTTTGATAACAGGAGCTCTAAAACCATCAGCTGGATTGTGATGGGTGAAAAAGGATGGAGGTTGATGTCTTCTGCTCAGGATCTGGAGCTGATCGCTCAGACCATGTTTCTGAACTTGGCTAAGTGAGGCTGGAAAGTGTCCCTAGGTATTACTCTTCTCATCACAATTCTCTTGGCAGACACCCAGAGCATGGTCACATGGTGTTGTAGACGGTCCAGGGAGGTCGGCATTTAAAGTGTTTCATTTAGTGCACAGAAAGGACTCAATATGCAGAAGCTTTTATTATTAATCTAATATTATGACTGCTATTATTAGAAGGAAGAAGGAGAAGAGAGCTAATAGTGACCTACATATTCACATACTCTTATTCTTACTTATTTACCCACCATGTATATACTGTGTATTGAGCTCAGAGAGATGGAAAAAATCAAAAAATAAGGTGTATGGCATGAACTAAACCTATAGTCTGGTTGGGGAGATGGAGTTTGTGCACATGAAGAGATTAAAGGAAAATCTAAGACAGAATATAATGAGCTGGCAAAGTGTGGTGGGTGCCGGAATTACCTGCTGTGAGAAATTGGGAGCAGGAGATAGCTCCTGGAGAAGGTTGAATCTCAGATGAGGGACTTAACGGATACGCACGATTAAAATCCAGAAGTTTAATGCTCCTAAGCAACAGCCTTCTTTCCCTGTCTGACCCCATCGAAAGAGAGCTCTTCCTAAGTGTCCTGAATATGTTGGCATTACAGAAAGTCCTTGGTTTACAGTAAAAGCGATAGAAATCCTTATAACAGCAGTGATTACCATGCACCAGTGCTTACTCTGTGCCAGACAGGGTGAGCCAGAGGCCTGCGAATGTTAGCTTGAGTCATCCTCCCAACTACCTACTTGAGGATGAGGGCAGGCTGCTACTATTCTTATTCCCATTTTGCAGATGAGAAAACTGAGGCTTAGAGAGTTGTCAGTTGCCCAAGGTCACAAAACTGCTCAGAGGTAACACTGGGATTAAAAGGCAAGGCAGGTCTGTGGGTCTGAGTTGAGGTGCTGTGCTCCTAACCACTGCTGTGCACCGTAGAGCTGAGAGCTGACCTGTCTTATCTAGTTCCCTGAGACAGGACTTAAAGGATCTTTATGCCCTGGTTCTTGTTAGATAATTGCCGATTCTACTTGCTCCTCCTGGGGTCTGGTAAAAGCTATTTTTAACTTGGAGTTTTCAATGCCTCTTAAATAATTCTCAAAAGTCCCTGTTTTGGGTTATATATATATATATATTTCTATAGAAAAGAAATCTTGCTGCTATATATTGTTATGACATCTTGAAAAGATTTAACATTCATTCTATTTTTAATCACCAATTTATTTCTAATCTGAAGATATTGCCAAGAAACCATTTTTCAAAGTCTATCTTAATCAGAGAGCTTCCTGTAGTCCCTCCACAAGAAAGAGTAGTAGTATTATCAGATCTCTATGAAGTCTATAAACAGAAAAAAAAATCCTTGTCTAATTGAAAGTGACTTTGGCAAAGGCCGTCATCTTCCTATTTTCAAGTCTCCAAAGCCTCTGGGGGTTTTCGGAAAGCAACAAAGAGACTAATGAGGTTGGGAAATCCCATAAGCCTGTCTCCAGCCCCAGCCTTGGGACTGGGTGACAGTGACCAAGAAAAATGCCTAAAATATGGGCTGGGAGTAGACATTGTGGTCCCTTCAGCTGAACCTTGAAATGAGTCATCTGTGCATGGTCCTGCCATCAGACAAGTGCATGTGTTCTTCTTCTTTTAAAATATCTTGGAAAATACTTTGCAACGTCTGGCTGCTACTCATATGTAGAAGAAATGTCTTTTTTTTTTTTTTATTTTTACAATGTAGTCTGAACCAGTGATTGCAATTCTTAAACCTAGCTGAACCCATGAAAGAGCTCATTAAGGAGCTCATCTCTAGAGATTTTGGCCAGCAACTCCCAGAGAGTTCCATGCTGGTGGTCCAATGACCGACCTCAATTGAAGAACCACTGGCCTAATTTCCTACTGCTGCTCTTGGTCTGCTTTCTTCTCCTAAATTCCTCCTCCTCCTCTTCCTCCTTCTCCTCCTCTTCCTCGTCCTCCTGCTCCTCCTCCTCCTCCTCTTCCTCCTTTCCTCCTCCTTCTCCTCTGCTTCCTCTTCTTCCTCCTCCTCCTCTTCTTCCTCCTCCTCTCCTCCTCCTACTCCTCCTTATCCTCCTCCTCCTTCTCCTCTTCCTCCTTTCCTCCTCTTCCTCCTTTCCTCCTCCTTCTCCTCCA